CAAGACAGTTCACAAAGTTTCACATTACCATTTAAATTTAGATAAGTCCATTCACTTAATTTTCTGCGTAAGTTTACCACTTCACTGAAATGCACTACAAAATTCAACAGTGGCTTGTTATATTTCAGATTTGTAGCATAAGAATTATGTAGCATTCTTAGCTACTGATGGTTCTTGTTGATAACTGGGTTGGATTGTATAATAAAACCACTTATGTACTTAGGCTGCCAGGTGATCAAACTTTTCTGTGTCATTCATTGAAAAGAAATGCAATGATTGAATTTCAATTTGCACACCAACATTCAGATTTAAAAACAAACATCTGCCCCAGAAAGCAGGTTTGTTTTTTAATAACAAAATGACAAAGTGCAAGAAGAGTGATTCAGCCTGAAGAACTAAATGCTTGCTAAGCTAACCTGATTAACATAAAGACTTCACTTTTCATTGCTAAATAGAGTGGCCAGCCTTACTGACCATCTGAGCCACATACAAATTTTCAGAAATTTAAGAGCTGCCACACACGTTCAGTCTGCCCCGCAGAGTGGTGCCTGCTATAGTGTGTGTGGGGGTTCTGCCCTGATATCCCCCACAGGGCTAAAGCCCTCAACCCTCTTTCCCCCCCTCCCCCGGACAGAAACCCTTAATCCCCTGCCACAAGGCAGAAGCCCTGAGCTCTCCCCATCCAGTCTGGTAGATGAATAGGGAGGGGGGTGGAGGCGCTGGGAGTTGCAATTAGACTGTAAAAGAGCTGCATGAGGTTCATGAGCCAGTTTGGACAAGCCTGCTATATAGCTTAAAAAAAAAAATCACACTTTGTAATTGTTTCTTACCTCTAAATTATGTTCCTGTGACTCAGATCCATCAAGCTAGACAAGATCAGACAGCAACTAACAATAGGAATGTAGAATTAAGTGACATCTTCAGAGTCTATAGGAGCTCTTTCTTGCTTGGATCCAAGAATCCAGGAACCCCTACTGAAGAAAAAAATCTGTTCTCTTAAACCACAAACGGAAGTGGAAGATGTTCTGGATTGGTGGATCTGAGTCGCAAAAAATGTAAGTTCAGGTAAACTCAGCCTCCCCTTTAAAATCTCTGATCCACCAATTCAGACATGGGATGCATCCACATGATTTGTGAGGTTCGTGGCACAAAATGGGTACTCAGAAGGTGGTATGGTGCACTATGCTTCAGACTGCCCTCTGTAAGTAGCATCTACACTTACTCTGTGCAATTTACAACTGATTTTCATAATTTATGCACTGAAATATATTTGTGGGATAGTCATTACATATACAACTGGGATATTCAGGCCTTAAAGATGTTGCACATTTCAGAGTTCAGCATCACATAGAAGGAGGAATCGTATGGTTTGCCTGCCTTCACTGCAATGAAAATACTTAGGGCATGGAACTGTACCTAAACATTTTAACATCACCTAAGTCATTAGGCACTTCTGAAAATGTTACCCCAAAAAGCCTTTTGTTTTCAAATTAGGAAATAAATGGTGTGGTGTATAAATCAGAAATGCTGAATCACATGCAGAATTTGTGTTATCACACACCACATTCCAAGAGTCTGTTAATCCTAAACCATGACACCAAAAATTTTCATTTTCTTGGAAGACCATAGTAACTTTTAAAATGCAGTGAGAAAGGATATTCTGTAGTTAACATCTAAATGTACCAATATGCCCGCTTTTATTTATGATAAATTAACCAGGGTCTGACATGTGCATGCACTAGTAATCCCATGACTGTAAAAGCAAATTAAATCCTATAAAGATGGTGTAACAACAAGGTATTTCTAATAGGTTCATGACCATGGTATTCAGGTGTCAGACTAAAGAAACAGGCACTATTCCTTGTCAATGATTAGGGAACCCTTATTTGAAATGTCACTTCCTGTAAAACACACGAGAAATTTGTTGTGTTAAAGTATGGCTTTATATAGCATGTGGCCATTCTAGGAAGCACTACCAATCAATATGGCAGCACATACCCTCTGATCTTCAGGTGTATCCTCATCTCTTGGGCTATGAATACCTTATCAGAAAAATGGGGTGCATGGTTTGAATATAGGATTGGACATTAGGCACTCCCAAGTTTTAATCCCTATCCTGAAACACTACCTTGCTTAGAACTGTATAAGACCTGGTTCAGGTGCCCACCAATACAGTTAGTGCCCATCAATAACTGCTAATTACTTCAAAATGGGATAAGATTAGATGTTTGTACAGCTCTTTGAATGTGAAAAGTTAGTACAAGTTGAACTTCTTTAGTGCGGCACCCTTGGGATCTGGTTGGTGCCAACCCAGAGAATTTGCTGAACCACAGAAATTCAATGTTGTCTAGCAGCATTACCAACACTTCCGCCGCTTACTGTGCTCTTAGAAGACATTTAGGGGTAAACTGAAACTAAACAACAACACAGAACATTGTGTGACAGGACTGATGGTTGCAAACAAACATTATGGACCTACAGGAAACTTGGCTAAACCCCTGATAAGTGGGCATCCAGGTAACTAAAATCATGCAAGGCCACAGATGTTGCCGGACCAGAGTGCCATACTAGAGAGGTTCAACCTATATTGGCTAATATATTCCAATGGGTAACAATTTAATGGTATAATTCACATTAAGACCAAGAATGAAAACAAGCATCACAGATTACATTTAACTGAAAGTGGTAATCTGATTTCTTTAAATTGAGACTGGATATTTTTTGAAGCGATAGGGTCAAACAAATTATGGGTTTGATGCAGAAGTTACTAGGTGAAGTTCTTTAACCTGTGTTATGTAGGTCTTCTTACATATAAGCAAAGCAAGAAAAGGCCATTAAACTATGCATATGAATATGAATTTTCATCCAACGATGATCAATATTTGTGAGGAAAACTTACGTTCAAGCAGAAAAGAAGCAAAGAAGTGAAGATAAGGAGACAAAATGGCCTGCTGCAACTGAACTACTCTTGGATAGCCCAGAGAAGATGGGACAAAACACAAATTGCAGAAAAGCAATTAAGTACAAAAACCTGCTAATGCAAGAGTCAGGTTGCCCACTTCCAAGTTAGAGTCTGGAAAGTATGAAGAAATTCAGATTCCTACTGCAACTTCCAATCTGCCATGTGCACACAAAATTATTTTGGTGCATAATATGCATTGTATTAAGCTATGTTTTCAGTAAACAAGATAGTGAATACTAAGTGTGCATCAAGGGCCAATTAAAAAAAGTGACTGGTGACATTTTAATTACCTACACTATTTTTTATTGTTTAATTAGAACAGCATTCATAGAAGACGAAACACTCATACCAGGAATTTATTTCTAATTAAAAAAATCCATAACCCACAAGAGGAAAAATGTTATTCCTGTTAAGCTTTAACATTCACATCTTGCTCCATTCACTGTTGTAAAGTAGGAAGAAGTTCATAGTTTTGATAGTTGTTACTTTTTTAGGACATCTTTTGAAGTTATGATGTCCAAATCTTCTTAAAATAAAATGTGTAAGTTACAGATCATAGAATGCATCAAAAAAATGCAGAAAGCACGACGGGAGGGGAGATGCACAAAATTAATATATTCGTTTCCTTATTCCTACCGTTAAAACTGGTCTTTTTGTTGGGAAGATTTTGCAGAGTTCTTTAATTCAAGTTTCAGCAATGGTCTCTTGGACTATCAAATACTAGTCAGGCTTACCAGAACATATATTATTTCATAAATGGGTCTGAAATAATATACTGTACTCATTGAGCATGCTCAAACAAATTCATTTAGCTTTTCCTTCCCTATCCTGCAAAGGCATTTAGACCTCTAAAGATATTCCAATCAAGTTCAGAATGAGCCATATTTGCATTTTCTATTCAGAAAAGAGACAGCCTTTTAAAAAAAACATTGAGTACTTATTCTCACCCACAATTCTTGGTACTGAAGGCATTTTGATTTTTAATTCTCCTTCAGAAAGAACAAACTTGCAAAGCCTCTGAAATATCTTTTGAGACTGAAGTGATGTGCAAAGACAAATTTACAATGCAAAGTTCCAGACTCTCAGCTGCAATAATCTGAATGTCTGAATTTCAAAATCTTTCAGCTAATACTTGAATATGAAATGAGATTAGTGCTGATGAAAGTGACCACAGAGTTACAAATATGAAGATAAAATTGATTGCAGCCAAAGGAGGAATAGATTAGTCCAACTTGCAGAAATTTAGGTATTAAGAAAAATATACCTTCTACCTGATGTATCTCAGTGAGAAATTGAAAAATGTGAAGCAACACATATGGTGGTAACTGGGTTCTATATGATCCACTTGATAATCTTCAGACTTTATACACCCACCATGAAGCTGCAGCAGTGTAAATCAGGCCTTAAGCTTACTTAGACACTACATCCAGTTTTTAACTTGTTAGACAGGCTCGCGCTGCCAAGATGCAAATTAAACCAATCAAAGTATCCACAAAGTTACACTGATTTAAATCTGAGCTCACAGTTTTAAACTGATAAAAACTTTGTTTAAATGAGACCTCAACAAGTAGCTTGATAAGTGTTTTAAATGTTAAAACGAGGAACTAAACTGCATGAATTTCTTTACTAGCTCAAATAATTCCTAATGGAGTCATAAGATCAACTTGTGAACTTGCGTTGAAATGTTTTTTAAAAAAGGGCAAATCCTTTGAACATACACCCATCGTGTAGCAGAAGACTCCTTGAACTGCAAGAGCCTGGGAGAACGGGAAATTATGGGAAAGCCAATGTTATAGTAATTTCTATTTAAAATGCTTGTTTGGTTTCCTTTTTTAAAGATTTATTTGCTTCATGGGAATTGTTTAGTGCTAAAGTATTTACTTGTCTTTTCTTGTTTTGCTGAAGTAGTGTAGTATGCCGAGGTATAGATTACATACAAGTAGGATAAAATTCCTTGTAAACGTATGCGGCAGCAACACAAGTGATTCAGTTGCAATTTTACTTCTGGTATATATTAGCATATATTTAATTACTGAAGTTTATTTCCATCCTTAACTTGTGTGGCAAAACTCTTTTATGTAAAAACTCTTTGCCCCAAACATCCAGAGGTAAGTTTACCATACCTTAAGGGCTCAACACTTTGGCCTACATATGAAAGGTGTCTGTGGTCCAAGGGACAAACTATACCCTCATGAGTGTAACTGCTTTGTGTATCTTCACTAAGACCTGCTGAAGTGCATGTATGCTTTTGCTGGCAGGGTCCTAATCCCACCCAGGCATGGAAGCTTTGACCTAGTTTAGGAATAAAGTACTCCAGTACAGAAAGCAATATTCTCTAGCCCTTTCACGCTAGAACTTCTGGCAAGATTTAGGTCACGTGTCAGGTCAAAAAAAGTGACTTCCGAAAAACCAGGCAAATTTGAGTAGAAATTACAGCAGCCAAGAATATGTGAACTCTCAATCTGAGAACAGTGAATGGATGGAAACCAGTGAAGTTGATGAATGTTCCAATCAAATCTGAACTTTCAAATTAGACTAGAGCACAATCACACTGACTTTCCTTATGGATGTTTGTGCAAGAGATATTTAAAAAGGAAAACAGAAGTCAAGTTACAGCTGGGAGTTTTACTAAAGTATCCATTATGACTAGAATAGGGAATGGCAGATTGCTTTCCAGTTCCCACTGATTCCTGTGGAACTTGTTAGGGCAACCCATTCTTGTTTACAGACATTCCCACATCACACTGTCAGGATAGATTTCACCTTTCCTCTCACCACATTCTTCCAAAAGTGCTACCGGGCTCAGTCACACCAAGGTTGTTCATTCAAATGCCAGACCATGAAGAATTTAAATCCAATAAAGGAAGAATCTTCCCCAATCATCAGAAAGCTCCAGGGGAGTTTCACCAACCAGGAAATTGATTTCTCCTTGCCAGGGCTCATAATGACTCTAAAACTTACATACAATGAAATAAGGAGAATTTGAAGGCTCTGTTAGAAAAGCTCAAACCTGGGAAACAACTTCAAGAATATCATTTTTGTTAAATGCTTATGTGAATAAACCTGAACTCTGGTTTAAGGGATGGAAAACCTTGATCAGCTGTTCCCATGCGCCTCTGATGGGAGTGAGTGGGCAACATTGTAGCCTAACTTGACTATCCAAGTCAATGTCAGACTTGGTCTGTTCTGGCCCTACGATATTATTTCTAGGTATGAAGCACCTGAATTGACTTTTTTAAAGCACATCCTTTAGGGCTGTGAACTCAGTTTTGTATAGTACGTCTCAAGGTCTATTTAGGACTGTGACCAACACACAGCTTGAATCTACAGATCCTGAAGAGTCCAAAGACAAAATTCTCCATTCCAACTGCTGCTTGATGGTTATATATTGACATCCTAGTGTACCAATGTCTGAATTACTGAATCAGTTTAAAATGGAATTTTCACATTGTTCTGATATTTAAGGATTTAAAAAGTAAACAAGAACGTCACAACATATTTCAAGAGTTGGAAGTGACATCTAATCCCACATTTGATTTAATATCAACTTGAGAACAATTTCTGAATATTTACTCAAACTGCATGATTTAGCCAATTCCTTACGTTATAAAATAGCAGCTAAAAAGCTAGATGTTTCACTGCAGCCATCTGTTCAAAAAGGCATGTATAGCATGCAGGAAAAAAACCTAACTTATATCCCAGCTTTCAGAACTTAGATGTGAAAAGGAGTATTGAAAATTATCTACATTTATAATTCAGTCACATTTTATTTAACGTCAGTATACAGAGGACAACCTCAGCAAATTCTGTAATGTCAAGTATTTAGTAAGGTTCTTCAGCTGTAACAGTGATAACAGAATAGCTAAAAAATAAGCAGTATGAAACAAACTTGATTTTTAAAATTATAAATATACCAACAATACTTATTAAAGCTTAATTATTGCAACAGTTAATTTAACAATATTTCATGTTAGAAAGGCTCTATGAAATTTATTCAAGGTGTCAAGAAATTAGATGGAAGTGTAAAAAGGAAATACATATGAATTCTCTTGATTTTCACTAAAGGTATAGTCAATACAATTTTGTACATTATCACCTCTAACATATCAATCTTTAACAAACTCAAGTATACAGAATTGGTAAAAATGCAGGAAAAAAAACTGTTTAACTTTTACAGCTAAGTTGTGCCACAGTAAATTAACTGACATGAATTTCATTATTGTAACATAAGCAGGCCAACAATTTTTTTCAGTATCATTTTAGTAGATTTAAGACACTAAAGGGGCAGATTTATACAGTCTCTTCAAGCACATAACCAAGTTTTTAAAAGAGGATAGTTCAAAGCATGGCATGTCTGCAAGTGTTTAGTAAAAGTCGTGTGATTTCCTAATCCAGAAACCTGCACTTATAAGACCTTTTATAAAGGGTTATGATCTCTCCTGGCTTCACTGAAGTCACTTTGCCACACCTCGCTATTCATAAGTCAAACCAGTATATTAGTATAAATTCAACCTGCTAATGAGGGAGTACTATATGTGCAATTTTGTTTGCTAGTATATGCACATTACAGGAAACTTCAAATTTCACCTTGGTACCCTGAAATCATACAGTCATGATTCAGTTTTACTGTAGCATTTACAGAGATGCTGTTATCACATGAAAATATTTCTATATGACAGTACTTCAAAATACCAGTAATTAAACTTCAGTTGTATTGAAAAAATGCTTCCCCCCTCCGAGGAAGAACTCACATATAGCTTAGTCTCCCCACTCACCGAAGTATAATACATGAATCTTTAAGTACTTTTAGCAAAAACATAAAAAAGTCATACTAAAACATACCGTACTACAACTGTAGCTAGTTGGAAGATTTAAGGATATTACTTAAGATTTTCATGTACAATAAGAATAAAAAACATTCGAAATTTCATGTGCATTGTTTCAATAAATGGTAACGTATTTAGTCTTCCAGATATATGTTGCCATTTCACTTTTTTGGAATTCTATCCAATCTTACCTTGAGCTCTCAGAAGAGAAATAAGTGGTAATTTTTCCTTAAATTAAAACCATGTGGTTGTACAAGATAAGCAAGTTAAATTTTAGTATCAAACATTTAGGTAATGAAATTTATTTTGTACTGTATTGAAGTAACTTAGTTTGGGAAGCTACATTCATGCCTAGGAAAATCGTTTAAAGGAATTATTAAATTCCTTTGCATGTAGTGATAAAGCATTTTTATGGTATCTATAGTACTTATAATTTGGTTTTAAAGTAAATGGCAATGTGATTCATATGCAATTTCACTTTTCTAATTCTCTCCTATTTAAGTTGTTTTCAGACAGGTTAAAGGATAAGATGAAACTTTCTAAGACCCATCTATGGAGCAATCCCCATGGCCAATCTGATAGCAGTTACTCAACTAAGGAAAGAAAAATACATCTCAGAATTCAAACCCTCAGGAAGAGTGTGTAAGATGGTATTACAGTTCCTAAAATGAAAGTGAAATTTGTAAATGAAGGGATCAAATTAAGATAAAAAATTCATTCTTTTTCAGAAAATGAAAACAATTCTTTACCTCCACCCAATTTGTTTTACTCATTTTGTAAACCCCTTGCAATGCTTTTCACCAAGTGTTAGTGTGATGATTTAAAAGAAGCATGTTTGGATCACATACTTTACTAGAACAATGTAGCCAATAAGAAAGCTCAAGGTATGATGAGTAAACTGAAGTAATTCATAAAGCTTGCAGTGTAGGCTATGGGAGACTGGCATGGCAGTGCATCATAATGGCCTCATGGAATCAGTGCTGAAGATCCGTTTCTGGATTTTCAGCCAAGGCCAGTGGAGACCACACTGTGGACAAGAGATTCAATCTGTCTAAACTAAGCAAGACCACTCTTCACCTGAGCCTCAATGCCTTCTTTTTGTAAATTAGTGGCAAATACACGGCATACTGTCATTTAGACTGCACAGTAAGTGCTTTGGTGGCTCTTACAAGAGGAGGCAAATGAGAGGGAAAGGTAGGAGATGGCTCACTGGTACAGGCGCTTTCTATTGCCAGGCTAGTTTAATTTTCCTTGAGTTGGTTATGGTTGGCACTCAGATGAGGTGGTTTGTGAGGCAACAGTGGATTATTTTTTTTTAATTAAGAAAAAAAAATGGTGCAGAGGGTACTCTTCCAGAACTGTCAAGAACCCATATGATGGGAGCAAGACAGAAGATAGCAGCTTTAAACTCCAAAGTGACACTTAGCCAAGGATAAAACCATTGGCAATATAGAAATATGTGGTCTATAACCCAGAAGTGACATGTTCCCATGAGTGTTTTTATACTTTCACCACTCATTAAATATGCATAAAATTATAATAAGTGCTCTATCTTATAAACCAAAGGACGCTTATCTTTCTGGCACAGATACTTCCCCATCAAAACCCTGTAAACATGCCATCACATTTTAAATAGCAAGAACTCACTGTAAATGCAAATAAAGAAAGAGCTACAAAGTCCATTTGAAAATATCTTTCTAGGGAAGTAAATATATCCTAATCAATATGGCATTTACATCGGTGTGCAATATATTAATCTGAAAGATTGAGAACTTCAGCATGAAAATAACTTACCTGTAATTAAAGTTTTCCATATTAGCCAAAGACAAAAATCCTCATTTTTGGGTACTGCATACTCTATCTCTGAAATATCTGAGATATATATATTCTAAATCAAAACCATTTGTGCACAAAAACAGTCTAAGTTACGCTCAGCAGTTTAAGAAAAAACCTAATTTACTAGTTAAAAGAAAAAAAGCAAATATTTGAAAACACACACAATCTGGGTTAACATTTACGCAAAAAGGCAATATTCTCTGGAAAGCTGAGACACTAATGCACGTTTAAAGTTACTTTTACAAGAATGTTTGTGACTTGTACTGATTTACAGATGTTCTAGTTCCACTGTAATGTAGTTTCACTATTTTCAGTTACATGATTCTCATGTACTGATTATTTTTAAAGTAAGTAATGCCCCTTCCCCATATCATCAAGAGAAAGATTCACTATGTTCAGACTTAATTGATCTAGCCACTAAGTAAGTGTGCAGAGATACTAAGTGGAAGAAATTCTCTGTGTGTGCATATAATATGAGATTTCAGAATCAAACTTGAGGAGCTTTAAGAATATGTGCTTGGAGTTTCAAAGCAGCTAGCATCACCTCTTTTTAAAAAGGATTAATTCTATAGTCATGTCATTTTTAGACATGCAACAGAAATCTGAAGATAGATAAGTTGTAGTGCATTTTAGTTTTCTGGAACAAATTTATTGCTCCATAGATGGCTCTAAAGAATCAGACAGTTTTAGCATTAAGGAACTCTCTCTATATATTGTCTAATTAGGAAAATATTCAAATAATTTACACAAGTAATCAGACATAAATGAGCGCACCTGCTGCAGGTTCAATGGTTAGCAATGGTTTCTCAGAACTGTATTTCATCTCAGAATTTTAAAGCTATGTTGACATGGAAGGTGCTTGAGGCTGTAAGATGACAGTTTTAGGCTCATTAAAAAAAACAAGAAGAAAATGCCATGTAATGGACAAAATCAATATTCAAGATTCAAAGGCTTTTACAATAGAGGGTAAAACTCCTACAAATTACCGTAAACTGGTAGATGTGATTGATTGATTGAAAGGTCTGTGCTAAAAAATTCAGTTTTGCTCCATATTTGGCTAGTAAAATGGACACTACTGGACCAAACATGATATGGTTTATGCAGATTTTTAACCGTGGCTATGATTCTTCTCATGATAATGAGCCCTATAAAAATCAAAACCTTTATACAGGTTCAAAAAAAAGTCTCATTAGTACAGTAGGACAGATATACAATTTCAGGCAATTGTACTATGAATTATTTCTAATATGGTCAGCACAGGGTTTGAAAAGTTTGCTCACAAGTTGACAGATATGTATTAATACTGAAGAAATCCATAAGAAGTTAGTGTTAAAACGCTTGTGTTTTTTCAAATAAGATACCTAAACACTAAAAAAGCTAGCATTTCATGGTATACTCAAAGCAGTAGTATTTCAAAACCCAGGAAAATAGCAGCATAGGAAAAATGTGTGAATAACTAATATTGTTACTTTAGTGATTGAACACTTTTAAATCTATGCCTTTACCATGTTGTGTTTATACTATAAAATTTTGAAAATATAGGAACACAAACTTTGGATACACAGTATTTCTCTGGTTGGAAGGCAACTAAGAAACGGTCCCCAAGACACTTCAAATAATTCAGAAATATGGCATGCAGTATCCAAAAGTATGGCTCTAAGGAAACAACCTTTTTACATTAAGCATAAAGAGATTTTATATCCAATAATCAGATATATTGAGAAAACTACCTATTCAAAGTTCTAATTCTTTGATGCAGCATTAAGGATTAAAACTTACCACTTTACCAGGCCTTGCCCATGTGCAAATAAATCCCTCCTGACAAGCAGTGACTATACAGTCTTCAAGAAAAATTAACACAGTCAGTCTTTCATGTGCTATCTTTTTACAGATAAGAGGCTCTAACAAGGGAACATCTTCCATTCTGGGACAGAGAGGTGTTCCCAAAGTTTTAGCTGGGTCCGTTTTGGTTTTAGTAACTAGGTTCAGTTTGTCACTGCTCTTGCTAGATATATGTCCCATGCTATGATTTCTCTTGTGATCTTTTTCATGGTGTCTTTCCTTCCGATCATGCAGCGATAAGGTTGCAAACTTACTAACACCAGAAGCAATGGCACCATCCATGACACTGCTTTTACTGCCAGCATTTGAGACTGCAGAATGTGGAAGGCTGTTTGACCGTGGAAGAGGAGGGGGTACTGAGTTTCCACCAGGTGTTGTGATACTGTTTCCATTACTTCCTGGATTAGTTCCACCACTTCCTGCAGGTGGACTTGTGGCATTCATAACATTTGTGTGTGTCCTTGCTCGTGAAAGAGGTTGGTGAGGGAAGAGAATATCTTCTGTAAGGTCCCACAAACAGAGTTGTGTGTCTTGGCCTACAGAACCAAACCTATATGTAACACTTACTGGACGACTGTCTGTAGAGTTCCTTTTTGATAACCTAGATTGTGTGCTATTTGCTCGATCTCTACCAAAATGCAGAAGGTCTTGGAAATCCTCATCACTGCCACTAAATTCCATTGGATCATTCTCTTCTACACTAGTGGTGTATGGGTCAAATGCCACAACACTAACCCATGATTTATGTCCGTGGCCTCTAGCTATTACTCGACAGTCCACAAAAGACCAAACTGTTACCAAGTCATCCTCGCCACCTGTTACAATGTATTTCCCATCTGGGCTCCAACACACACATAGTAGTCCCCCAAAGTAGCTTTTCATTGTACCATGCAACTCCACTGAATCAAAGTTAAACACACGAAGAAAGCCATCTTGGCTTACACATGCCAAAAATTTCCCATCAGGGGAAAAAGCAAATTCATTCAGGGCACCCTCGCCTACGGTCCATTTAAGTAGAGGATTTCTTGTGGATTTACTCTTGCAAGTGTGAACTGCAAAATTTTCTCCTTGCTTAAGTAGCTGGTAGTGTGGGGCTGTGGTACCACAAGTGTGCTCCACATTATACAAGTACATATTTCCACTGGAATGAGCTACTAGGAAAAGGCTTTCCGAACCTGGGACCCATTTTACACAGGTTACTCTGGACTTGTCTATTAGTCTCTGTGAAAAACAAAGAACAAGATATGCATTAAGAAAGTACCTGATTATTTTACAGTTTACATCTATTAATAGAACATTTTACTGAATTTTTTAAACGGCCAATTTCATGATAGTTACAAAATAGTCTTATTTGCAAAAGAACTTAAGATAGACAGGAAGAGAAGAAACTACTATTTAGGGAAAAGTGATTTGTGAAAATGTATTCTTTACCTGTCCAATATTTATTCAATAATGAAGCTACCTCAATAAGGCCAATTAGTTACAGACCCCAATATAACATGAGGTTTACTTAAGCAGAAATAAAGTCTCAAAATAGTACAGGCAGTCCCCGGGTTACGTACAAGATAGGGACTGTAGGTTTGTTCTTAAGTTGAATCTGTATGTGAGTCGGAACTGGCGTCCAGATTCAGCCGCTGCTGAAACTGATCAGTTTCAACAGCTGCCGAATGGGTGCTGCTGGGTTGGTCCAGTGGCGCCCAGAGCGGCGCTACGGGACCAAT